ATAAATAAGAAAATAAATAAATGTGATATCCAAACCTGTTAAAGACTCCTGGCAGATGCCCATTGGGCTCTACCAGATTGTCAGAATCTTTTGTCTCAAGGACCAATTTACCATCTTTTTTTCACGGTCGGTGACTTTAGAGAAGTAAAGATAAATCACAAGACTGTGTGTTTCTGCAAATCTTTCAAAGGTGAAATGTATTTTTCAGGTACTTATATAGTGCTGTCAATTTATGCAGCACTTTACATATATATTGTACATTCACATCAGTCTCTAACCCTCAAGGGGTGTACAATCTAAGGAAATGCTACCTATGTAGGTGTTTCAGTTAGATATTTAGTGGTTTGGCATGAGTTCACCTCTTAACTGAAAGTTACTTACTAAAGCAGCGTCTAATGGGGTATGGTAGAAATTCTAATGTCTAGTTTGATTCATTTTGAAAGTGATATGTTTATATACACAGACTTTAGTTTAATTCTTCTCTGTCTTATTTAATTTGCTTTATTTGTAGAGACCTGGATAAAACCACATTTTGGCTATTTTCTGCATCCGCTCCCTGTAGTCTTATTTCAAGGAAATAAAGTCAGTAGACGTATAATCTTCCTTCCACTAAAGTACTGTTCTCCCGAATATTTATAAAAACTGGAATAACCCTGTGCTGTCTCTCTTCTGTATACTGCCATCCTGTGGAAGACTTGTAAACTGCAGGACAAACAGAGGAATTACACTCGCCGGCCACTTTATTAGGTACACCTGTTCAATTGTTTGGTAACACAAATTGCTAATCAGCCAATCACAGGGCAGCAACTCAATGCATTTAGGCATCTAGACGTTGTGAAGACGACTTGCTGAAGTTCAAACTGAGTATCAGAATGTGGATTTAAGTGACTGTGAACGTGGCATGGTTGTTGGGGCCAGACGGGCTGGTCTGAGTATTTCATGAACGGCTGATCTACTGGGATTTTACCGCACAACCATCTCTAGGGAAATCAAAAGTCATCAGACTAGGCAACGTTTTTTCGAATCTTCTAATTTCCAGTTTTGGTGAGCCTGTGCGAATTGTAGCCTCAATTTCCTGGTCTTAGCTGACAGGAGTGGCCCCCAGTGTGGTCTTCTGCTGCTGTAGCCCATCTGTTTCAAGGTTCAATGTATTGTGCATTCAGAGACGGTTTTCTGCATACCTTGGTTGTAATAAGTGGTTATTTGAGTTAGTGTTGCCTTTCTATCATTGGGAACCAGTCTACCCATTCTTCTCTGACCTCTGAAATCAACAAGGCATTTTCATTCACACAGCTGCCACTCACTGGATATTTTCTCTTTTTCAGACCATTCTCTGCAAACCCTAGAGTTGGTTGTGCGTGAAAACTCCAGTAGATCAGCAGTTTTTGAAATATTTAGACCAGCCTGTCTGGCACCAACAGCCATGCCACATTCAAAGTCACTTAAATTTCCTTTCTTCCCCATTCTGATGCTCGGTTTGAACTTCAGCAAGTCGTCTTCACCACAGCTAGATGACTAAATGCATTGAGTTGCTGCCAGGTGATTGGCTGATTAGCAATTTGTGTTACCAAGCAATTGAACAGGTGTACCTAATAAAGTGGCCGGTGAGTGTACATCGTGTTTATCTGAAGGCCTCTACATCAGTGTATGGCAGTGTTTCCCAACCTTTTTTCAGTCAAGACACCCTCAGCACTCAGGGCACCCCATTCTAACATGTAAAGAATTAAACCAATAGTGCTACATAACACAGACGCATCCACACACATAGGACACACAACATTAGAGGTGATTTCCAAAGCAAATACACCTTTGCACACTGGTACTGACTAGTATTCCAGGGTTTCTCTTCTCCCTTAATTTCTCTCCATCTCTCACTAATGGGAACCTAGTGCCAGTGGAGGGATACAGGGAAGGGGCAAACAAGGTGCCCATCATCTTCTTCATTAACTGATTGGTTGTTAGAACGCTGGTGTCTGGAAGGTTGTGGTGGTCCACAATGAAGACCTGTGGCTTTGTGTAACTAAAATGCAGGTTTGATCCACCCGCTGGCTTGTATACAATTTTAACATTACAATCTGATTGGTTATTCTGTGTACAATCACTTTAGAGTTTATATTTTCCAACTTTAGATTTTACATTTTGCAACTCTGTAGCGCAGGAGTCTACAGCTAATACTTAGTGTTTGTAAACCCTTCCATATATCCAGTGAAATGACTGGGATTATCCTCCTCCTACATACGTTGTACCTGTTTATCTGCAGTGTTCTATTCTCTACATGTATTTAAAGTGCTTGTCTAAGAGTTCAAAAAAAATGTTGTGGAGCGATGAAGTCACACTCTGCAGAGCTCAGTGAGGTGAGCTCTGAGAGCTGATTAAAAGGAAGACACACCCCCTTCACACAGCACACAGGAACAGAACTGAGGCTGTCAATTTGCTGCAGGTCCCTCCCCTGTCACCATTTTTTCTCTTGGTGTCAGGAAAACTTGTTGGAAGTGATTCATGCTGATAGCAGAGGAATGGAGCAGCAGTTAGAAATGACACAGTGCTCTGGATTGTGACACGTACACACTATAGATCTGTTCATATTTCATGTCTGAGGTTTGCAACCAATTTAAAATGTATCAGGTGGGATTTCACACATATATATAGATAGATAGAGATAGATTTAGATATATATAAACATACAGAGTATCATGTGGCTAACATTCCACAGGTTATTAGCTAAAATCCATTACACACGGTTAGGCACACATTTAACCCCTTAATTGCCCTAGATGTTAACCCCTTCCCAGCCAGTGTCATTAGTACAGTGACCGTATATAGTGTTATCACTATACTAATGTCACTGGTGATGTTAGTGGCAGTTAGTCAGTTCCCTCCAGCATCAGTTAGTGACAGATTGCCTTCCGCACTACTGCAGTCCCATTATAAGTCGCTGATCATCACCATTAGTAGTATAACAGAAAAGAAAATTAAATATATTTAGTCTGTAGATGCTATAACTTTCAAGCAAGCCAAAGATATGTAGAAGAATACATTTTAGTCAAAATTTATGGAGAAATTTGATTTTTTGAATTTGTTATAGGATATGTTTTATAGCAGAAAGTTAAAAAAAATTATTTTTTTCAAAATTTTCACCCTTTTTCTGTTTATTTTGCAAAAAAAAAAAAAAAAACAGTAGCAATCAATTACCACCACAAAAAAGCTCTATTTGTATGAAAAAATTATATAAATTTCAATTGGGTATAGCTTTGCATGAATGCGCCATTGGCAGTTGAAGTAGCGCAATTCCGAATAGCAAAATATGGCCTGGTTATGAAAGGGGTAAAACCTCCTGGAGCTCAAGTGGCAGTCTATCCAAACACAAACCCTTCAACCAAATATATCGTTGCACATTCCTGTAATATCAAAATGTTTAATGAATTGAAATATTTTTTTTTTTTTTAATTGTCCTGCTTTCACCTAAATATCCATAAGTAATTGCTTTGCTAGAAAGACAATGTTCTGCTACAGCATTGACAGTGAATTCATTTTTGGAGAGCCATGGACTTTCTACCAGTGTCTTTCATTAGAAGACATTTATTTTTCTTTAGTTATATGTGAAAATAGAAGTATGAAATAACTGATGTGACAGGAGGGAGATAACATCATCTTGATTCTCTTCTATCCTTTCCACACTTCATAAGAGCGCTCTGGGAACATACTGAGAACACAGAAACATTGGACGTGTTAATAGCCGTGTGAGATACAGAAGTGATTGTTAGTAGTGATTTATACTGTCATGTCTGGTATCACTCTATAATAAGTAATCAAGGAAAAATGACCTCTTGAAGACATGGGAGTTTTTCAGATTCACACACTTTGCGAAGAGGTTGGAAGGATTTGAAACACGATGTATCAATCTTAAACTGGATATTATAGATTAATGTATTCATTTATATAATTTTTTTGCTTTGCATCATGTTTTGGTAAATGCAACATTTCCTGTCTTGTTGCCTTTAAACTACTTCTTTAATCACTATGAGCAAATGTATGTTTATACAAATGCAATCCAGAGCCTTAAAATTACTCCGTATTCACACTTGTCATGCGACTTTGGACATAAAAGTCACACTAAAAGTTGTACCCCAGGTTTTCCAATGGTAACCATTCATATATGTGCAACCTAAAGTCGCAATGGGGGTTATTTACTAAAACGTGGGAGTGCAAAACCTGGTGCAACTCTGCACAGAAACCAGCTTTTACTGTCAAAGCTTAATTGAACAAGTTGAAGTTAGAAGCTGATTGGCTACCATGCACAGCTGCACCAGATTGAGTGCAACAGTTCTAGAAAAATCTCTCCCAGGGACTTCAAAGTAGTTCATGCACTACTTTGGTCCAACTTTCATGCAACTTGAGGGCCATAGACTGCAATGTTAACCCAGAAAAGTTGCATGAAAGTCATACCTGAATGTTTTACATGCAAAAGTGGGTCCGACTTTGCAGAGAGGCAAAACGTTGCACACTGAGTTTGACTTGCTTATTACACCCATGTACAGCAAAGCAACCTATACATGAATCTGTTAAAAAAAAAAATTTTTACTTGTTTCCCCCATCCACACACTCGTTGTGGATGGGGAATCCTCCTGCTAAGCTATTGTATTGACAACAGGGGTTTACTTCCCCGCCATCAGAATACACTGATCAGCTATAGCCAATGGCACTGATCGAGCGCCAAAAAAACCAACAGGGCGGGTGTACAAAAAATCGATCGGTAGATCAGCTTCTGTACCCGCAATTTGGCTGGTCCCTGCTGAACCGCCTGCGATTCGATCCTTACATAAAGCCGTATGAATATTTAGCAGGAGTGCACACCTGAGGCCTTTTCTATAATAGAAAAAGTTCCAACTCCTCCAACAGGGAAGTGTAGGAACCTGATAAAGAGGCTAAGCATATAAAACATTATGTGAGTGAAATACTCCTATCACTAATAATACATCTTCTGTTTTTTGCTCTTTTAGTTTTATGAACAGAAGGGTAATATCCACCAATCCCTATCGAGAAGCTCCTACAAATGGCTATTCCTGCCCCAGCGGCCTGGCTCTTCATTATGATGATGTTCCATGTATTAATGGATTGGTAAGAGTGAATGTACACACATTTGTTGTCCCCATAAGGCATAGACCTAATAAAATATTACACGTGTGGTTCCACAGTCACATACTGAGAGTGTCCAGTACTAGGACTATACTATTCAATGCATACACTAGCACATTATCACATTACCTTGCAGGGGACTTTTTTTTTTTTTTTTTCCCTGACGTTTACTATCGCTTTCAGTTCCACTTTATTAAAGGTAGCCAATTCCATATCCAATCTGGGGTTTGTGACACAATGCAGGACCATGCACTTGTGAAGTCACCTTGCGGTATGGTACCCCAGGCTGGTGCACTGTGTACTGTACTGTTATAGACTGTGATGCTGTCATAGTTGATATTTTTTATGGGTAGCTGATCAAAAGATTTTGGTCAGCTCAGACTTTTTATAGAAATACTGAACTGCCCACCATGATAGATTTTAATTGTGCAATGACATCTGTGTACTTATAAAGTATGTTCAGTACTTGGATAGGTTGGAATCACAATGTAGAATATAATTGACAAGGGGAGACCTCCTTATTATTAGGAGTGCTGCTGCTAAAGTGGCTTACAGTTATATATCAAATGTATAATGCTCAGCATAAATGAGTAAACCCATTTTTGAAAAGTAAGATTTTAATTAATATCTCAGTGAACACAAGAACAATTTCCAAACCTTTGACAAAACTGAGTTTTATAGAACATTTGTTTAACTCATGGAGATCATACAAAATACTAGATGGAGTAGTGTTTGTTGTGGGGTGTATTCATTGTTGCATCAACTAATTTGAGCAAAATAGAAGATTTTGTAATCAAAGTTATATTATTAACCTTACTTTCATGTAATGAGATAAACCATGGGCGGGCAACTGTGGCCCTCCAGCTGTTGTAGAACTACAAGTCCCATGAGGCATTGCAAAACTAACAGTTACAAGCATGACTCCCAAAGGCAGAGGCATGATGGGACTTGTATTTCACCAACAGCTGGATGGCCACAGTTGCCCGCCCCTGGTTTATCTCATTACATGAAAGTAAGGTTAATAATATAACTTTGATTACAAAATCTTCTATTTTGCTCAAATTATTTGATACAAAATGAATACAACCCACAACAAACACTACTCCATCTAGTATATTTTGTATGATCTCCATGATTTGTAAGGACAGCATCAAGTCCTCTAGACATGGAATGAACAAGTTGGCGACATATTGCAACATCTATCTTTTTCCATTCTTCAAGAACGACCTCTTTTAGAGCCGGGATGCTGGATGGAGAGTGATGTTCAACTTGTCTCTTCAGAATTCCCCATAGGTGTTCAATTGGGTTCAGATCACAGGAGACATACTTGGCCACTGAATCACTTCCACCCTGTTGTTCTTCAGAAATGCAACAGTGGCCTTAGATGTGTGTTTTGGATCATTGTCATGTTGGAAAAGTGCACGACGACCAGGGGCACGGAGTGATGGTAGAATCTTCTCTTTCAGTATAGAGCAGTACATCTGTGAATTCATGATACCATCAATGAAATGCAGCTCCCTGACACCAGCAGCACTCATGCAGCCCCACAGAAGGGCACTGCCACCACCATGTTTGACTGTAGGCACCATGCATTTTTCTTTGTACTCCTCACCTTTGCGGCGCCATACAGTTTTGAAGCCATCAGTTCCAAAATCATTTATCTCGGTCTCATCACTCCAGAGTACAGAGTCCCAGTAGTCTTCTTCTTTTTCAGCATAGGCCCTGACGGGCTTTTTTGTTCATGGGCTTTAGGAGAGGCTTCCTCTCTGGATGACACCCATGCATGCCATTCCTCTGCAGTGTACACCGTATTGTGTCATGGGAAACAATTACCCCAGTTTGGCTTTTTACTATAGCTAACTGCAGTGAATGTGCATGGTGATTTTCTTCAACCCTTCTCATCAGAAGATCTCCTGTCACAGTGTTAACTGGTGTGGCCGGCTTGAATGTCTCTGTGAGATGGTTGCAGTTCCATCTTTGTTAAATTTTTGTATCACTTTTGCTGCAATATTCCGACTGATAAGTAAAGCTTTGCTGATCTTCTTGTAGACTTCATTTTCTTGTGTAAAGAAATGATTTTCTTTCTCAGGCTTTGTGACATTTCTCTTCCATGTGGTGCCATTGCTGACAGCATGAAATGAGAAGAGGTTTTCTTTGTTAAGTAACGCCCTTTTATAATCAACTGTCTGCTGGACACCTGTTTAATGAATAATTAGACTTACCTGTAGTTGAATTCTTGTTAATTAGGATTTTGTTGTCTCAAATTTAGCTTTGCTCCTAAGTCTGGCCATACAGTATACCATTTTCTGCTCAATTTCCTTTAGATTTACCTTCAACTATGTAGCGCAACGGCCTGCCTAATTGGATACAGTTGAAAGTGTTGCTTAGGTTTGACTTCATATGATAAGGTTTTTGGTAAATCTAAAGAAAAATTCTCAAGAAAATTGTATAATGTATGGCCAGCCTAAGACTTTCATTGGGGTGTATTCATTTTTGCAACATGGTCTTGAATTAATTTGTTAGGAAAAATACCTTTTTGTGTGCATGCAAATTAACAAATCTTGTTTGTAATCAATCACCCCGCATTTGTGGGAGTATTTTGTAGTATTGTGTCCTATAGAAAATGTTGAATCGGAAAGGAAAGGTTTTCTGACAAATCTGTTGGGGTGTACTCATTCATGCTGAGCACTGTATGTATCATAAAAAGCTATGTTCTGTCAATATAATCCTCATTCTTACCAAAGTTCTGTATGGCTGACTAGATTCTGTCCTAGATGCATGACTGGACTGCCATCATGGAGGTTGCAGGCTTCCTCTGCATTCTGTTTACTGCCTTTCATTCTTTGCATGTTCTCTAACAGTACACGTATGTGTAATTTCAGTGGAGACCAGATGAGGACTTTAATCCATCCTATAACAGAAAAAAAGAAGAGGTGCTTTATGATGAAGCAGATGTGTATGATAACTTACCGTCTCCGAAAATCTTTGCACGCTACTCACCTGCTGACAAAAAGGCCAATAGGTTATCCACTGACAAACTGTCTCCTAACCACTACAAATCTCCTGTCTCCTCCAGTCTGTCTTCTCAGTCTGTCACTAACAACTCTTCTATGGGGAGGGCGTCCCCGACTCAGGTACACCTTATTACTTTTGCCTGCGTGTTCACTGCATGTGCCTGCGTGCAAGTGCTTTACCCATAATCCTGGTTGGCAGTGGATGATTGACGGGAAGTACCCACCTCCAAGTAAAATTCAGCTTCAACAGACATGATGTGCGTTAGATTTAAAAATAATACACTGTAAATATTTTACACCAACCCCCTACGGCCAGTTAGGGCCATACACCCCCAATAATCTGCATACATCTGTGGCAAGATCGCAGTGTGGTTTGTGATCAGCCTCGACCAGGAAACCTGTACAGATCAATGACAGGCTGACAAACACTACTCTTGTCCATGAAGTACCAAATCTTCCAAGTGATGAATTCTCATGTGCCATGCAATATCACATAAAAGGATGTAATAACGTATATTAGGTGGACATGCGTGTATCCTATATGTTTATGTCCAAACATAAAACATGCGTAGAATGTATGCGTTTATGTCATCACAGTATATCTGGAACAATACTCAAACTAAATCCTATAATAAAGTATGTTCAGTGGACATGTGTGTATCATATGCGTGTATGTCAAAACATAGAACTATGCGTAAAATATATGCGTTTAACTCATCACCATATATCTGAAACAATCCACACCCAGAACTACAAACATAAAAAAACATAAAACTAGATCTTATAATAAAGTATTTTCCATGGACATGGACCAACAAAATGGCCGACCGTCACGACGCACAAACTGGAAGTACATGGTCTGCCATTTTCTTGGTTGGTTTCAACTACACAAGCCTGTGTTCCATGGCAACTGGATTTGTGCACCAAAAAAACTGAGTGTATTCTATTTTTTTCAATAAATGGTGAGTTTTAAAGTGTTATTAAACCCAGGACCCTGCATTCACTATACCTGGTCTCCCACAGTACACACAACATGGAAATGCAATTATTTTAGTAAATATAAACTGCTAAATACCTTTTCTTATCAGCAGTTGGAGCAGTCTTGTGACTTCAGTGTCCAGCAGAGCACTGGTTAAAACTTGTAGGAGGAGTTTTCATTTTGCTCTAAGAGGATGCAGAACCCCTGACCTCTGTCTGGACAGTGCTGATTGGCACTATGCTGATCACATGCACACAAACAAACTCTCTGCACATGCTCAGATTGGTTTGTATGGCTAGAGTGACTCCACACCAATGTTCTATTAGGAGATATTTAGGAGACACTGAAAGAAGGGGAGAATCAGAGAATACATGATCAAACATCCTTTTTACACAATGTGGAGAATTATCTTCTTAGGTTCCATAGTGAGTATAACAAGCATGCATATACAGACTGATTTTACTGTAGTGGGTTTAGTAACACTTTAAGCGGAGAGCACTCTATATTTCCTTCTTTGTTCCGAGTTTATTGAAAACATTCCACCAAGGATTGCTGAGAATGGAGATGGATTGGGAAGCCCCAGTGACCTGGAGGAAACCATTACCCTTGTGATATAGGTGACCCCACTACAAGGGGCAGGTGAATGAGACCCTGTTGTGAGGTCTATCAAAAAGGTGAGAGCATATTACTGTCAGTGGTTGGGTATCTACACATGGTGATCATATAAACAAAGATTTTAGAAACGAAGAACATGTACTATATATTTGATTGATTGCATGGTTGGATTTTTGGACATAGAGGTTTCTTATAAAAAATAAGAATTGGAATTTAGCATTATTTTATGTTTTGTCGTTCTGGGTGTGGATTGTTTCAGATATATGGTGATGAGTTAAACGCATGTATTTTACGCATGATTCTATGTTTTAATATATACGGATATGATACACACATGTCCACTGAACATTCTGTATTATAGGATTTAGTTTGAG